TTGGTGGAACTCAAGATGTAAAGCAGGGATGTCAAACTCACAACATCACGTGATGTGTCGTGACATATCGCGACTTTTTTTTCCATTGCCAGCAATGGGGTGGGCGCGGTTTCGCTATGATGCATCTGGCCTGCTGGCCGGCAGTTTGACACCCCTGATGTAAAGGGACATATTTCAGGATTTAGGGATTGGGATCCCTTGGGATTTTTAAAAAAAGTGATTGATTCTGTTTTTCAACAGGAGTGCAAAATAGCAGTGGCAATGATAGGACTATACACCATACGTTTTGGTCTTTTGTGATACCAGAATGATATATTGTAATAAAGCATATAAATTGCAACACAGACATTAATTAGATGTCAGATGGGCCAGGTTGGAATCTGGATTCAAATCTTCATTCATGTAATGGAATGTGCATCTGGAGCAGTAGAGGGGAAGGATTTGGCCACCTCAGAGCATTCCCAAAAAGAGACCTTGGATCAAGAAACTGCATAGTCCCAAGCTGGATGGGGGATGGGAGGGAAGAGGTTCAGGGTAACAACACCCTAGAATCTCTCAGGATATATCCAGTAGCTTAAAATTTTTATAGTTTTAGCTTGACAAGATTGTGTCTATTAGATATAAGCAAATAAAGAATTGAGCTTGATTAGATCTCACTGTCTCATCTCAATTGGGTAACTTTAGTCTAGCCAAATGTGGAGCCTCCAAGTCCCAGATATCTTATCCTCATAGGGCTGTAGTAAAGACTGGACAACCCATGACCCATTGGATCACCTTTTTGGAGATAATTCCTTACCAGATTCCTCAGTGCCTTAAAGTTCACTGGAAAAATTGGGATACATTCAGAGATATATCTGCCTTGAAAATAGCTCGTATTGAACTGTATAGCTGTGGTGGAATCTGCAGCTGGAGTGGGGAATGGAGTTAAGAGACTGGCTAGTCTGGTGTCCCTGCAGGAGAGGAAGTGACTTGGGGTCTTTGTCTGGTTGTTCCCCAGAGCAGTGGTCCCCAACCTTTGTGGCCTGGCTGGGGGGGTGGAGAGGGGAACCAGGTAGTGTGAGTGGTGGGCTGGCGTATATGTGCATGCTAGCAGCTCAACTCGTGCAAGTGTTAGGCTGGCATGCACACACATGCGCACACAGCTCAACTGCAGAGGGCCATGGCCCAGGATTTGGGGACCCTTGCCCAGAGAATGCAATCAGTCTGGCCAGATTCTTGTAAAAAAGATCACAATAAAGAAACTTCTCTGATCAGTTCACAGTGTCATTCTGATTCCTTGTTCCTGACAAATAGCACAGTCAAACACCAGCACAGGAAATATTTTATAACATTCTGTGTCATGTCATAAACGGTTTTATGATAATGCTTATGTCATAAAATGTTTTATAAAATTTGCAAAATTTTGAGGTAGCTTGTAAAATTGTTGCCCTACAATCCACTGTTTCACCACAGCTAACGGTTGCAGGAATGAGAATTTTCATAGTTTGAGAATTTTAGTAGTATATGGATAGAGAAAAGGGAGGGGCAAGCCATATATGCTATTGATGTTCTTTGAGGAGAATTTGGGATTTAAATGTAGTAAGTGAATGATTCTTCTGTCATTCACCTGATCCCTATAACTTTCAATAGTTTCTGCACAGATCTTTCCCATCAATCTAGGAAGGCTAGACTCAATGTGGCAAGACCAGTGCATATGTCCCCATCTCCCATTGCTGCAGTTTGTGTTTTTTTTCAAAATATTGCAAGATAGAAATATATTAAATGCATTGGTGGTGCCGTAGTGGTTAGAATACAGCAGTGGTTCTCAACCTTCCTAATGCCGCGACCCTTTAATACAGTTCCTCATGTTGTGGTGACCCCCAACCCCCCATCCAGCTGGGTGGGGGGTATCAAAAACCTGACCAAAAAAAGAGAGGAAAAAATGGGAAAGTATAGGTAGTCCTCGACTTACAACAATTCGCTTAGTGACTGTTTGAAATTACAACAGCACTGAAAAAGCGAATTATGATCATTTTTCACACTTATGATTGTTGCAGCATCCCCAGGGTCATATGATTTACATTCAGATGCTTGACAACTGATTCATACTTATGACGTTCACAGTGTCCCAGGATCACATGATCAATGGCCAGGGGCGTGGCCAGCTGATCACTCAGGTTGCAGAGTGCCTGTGGGGGGGAATCTGTGGGTCTCTGGGATGGGACTGGGGTGGGTGCCTGCCTTCCTTCCCTCCCTTCTCTCCCCTTGTCCCTTCCTTCCTTCTTTCCTTCCCCCCTCTTAGTCTCTTCCTCCTTCCCTCCCTCTCTCCCCTTGTTCCTTCCTTCCTTCCTTCCTTCCTTCCTTCCTTCCTTCCTTCCTTCCTTCCTTCCTTCCTTCCTTCCTTCCTTCCTTCCTTCCTTCCTTCCCTCTTTGTCCCTTCCTTCCTTCCCTCCCTTCCATTATTCCTTCCTTCCTTCCCTCTCTCATTGTCCCTTCCTTCCCTCCCTCTTCATCCCTTCCTTCCTCCCCCCCTCCGTGCCCAGCAAGGGACAAGGGGAGGTGGATAGCGTGGCTGGGAGCTTTGCTGCTGGCAAACCTGTCTGTGGACAGGCAGAGACAGAGGAGAGCTCCGCCCAGCTCACTTGCTCAGCTTCGCCGAAAGACATGCTGCTTGCTAGGTTACCAGAAGCTCCAGGATCAGCGCCGGGCTACGGCTGATTCGCACTTCTGCTAAATTAGCAAGGGCTGGGCTGCTCTGCAAAAGCGCGGATCAGCTGTAAAGGCTCACCCCGATCCTGGACAAGAGGGAAGGAAGGGCCAAGGGGAAAGAGGGAGGGAAGGAGGGACAAAGAGGGATGCGAAGGAAAGGAAGGAAGGAAGGAAGGAAGAGATAATGGGAGAGGGAGGGAAGGAGGAAGAGACCAAGAGGGAGGGAAGGAAAGGAAGTTCCAGCCAGCAGAGGCTTGGCAGCCCGGCTGCCGAGGAACAGAAGAGCGCAAAGCCAAGGAGAAGAAAGTGGTGGTTTCCTCCCAAAGAGAGCTCCTTTTCTCCACCCCTTCCCTGGGTTTGTGGGGAATTTCTCGTCACCAACGCTGACAGGTGCTCCTTCGAGCTTACCGCGAGCTTTCTCGCTCCTTTGCTTCTCCCCCCCCCCCCGCTTTCATGAGGATTGTGGTGCCCTTGGGAAGCCGATTGTGCTTTGAAGCTTAGGAGAGGAGGAGTCCCTTCCTCCTTCCCTCCCTCTCTCCCTGTCAAGCCCCGGCGGGCTGGACATGAATGGGCGGGGGAGGAGTCGACGTGCGGGGTGGCAAAGGAGACCGGCTGACAAGCTCAAGTTCGGGGGTCGCCAGCTGACGGGCGCAGGAGTTGGGTGCTGCCCCGGCCTCCCCTTTGCTGACCTGCGTGTGCAGGAGAAGAAGTCAATCCGGTTGCTGCACAATGAGTCTCTGGGGAGGGCGGGGCCTTGCTCTGTGCCTGCGCTCTTCATGCACCCCCTGCAGGGCACATTTGGTAGAGTTTGTGCAGACTGCCGCCAAGTAGCATATTTTCCATAAACAAGTGAGGTGGAGCGGAGGGGGGGGGAGAGAAGGCGGTTGACGAGCCCTGCCTAAGACCATCGGAAATATGTGTTTTCCGATGGTCTTAGGGGACCCCTATGAAAGGCTCGTGCGACCCCAAAAAGGGTCGCGACCCACAGGTTGAGAACCGCTGGAATACAGTATTGCAGGCTAATTCTGCTAACTGCCGATTGCCAGCAGTTTGGCAGTTTGAGTCTCACTGGGTCAAGGTTGACTCAGTCTTCCATCCTTCCGAGGTTGATAAAATGAGGACCCAGATTGTTGGGGGCAATATGCTGAATCTGTAAACTGCTCAGAGAGGGCTGTAAAGCACTGTGAAGCAGTATATAAGTCTAAGTGCTTTTGCTAAATACAATAACTTATTTTGACAAGAATTGTATTTGTCCCCCTGTTTCCATCATGTAATGTTCTGTTAGAATAACCTTAGGAGACAGGACTAAAAGATGTCATCAAGGAAGCAGTTAAAAGGCAGATGATTCTACAGCAGGAATGTGGGTGAGGCAAGCGACTCAGAAAAGACCCTCCCTACATTCTTGCGCTGTAAAGGAAAACGAGGAGAGATGTAATTTCAAATTTGGAATATTCTGTTAATGTAGCTTTACAATAAAGTAGAATTAGCTCACCTGGTCATGTTTTCTGTCTGGTCTACCTCCTATGGCTGGTATATCTGGAGGAAAATATTTTAGGAAATGTAACTGACGAAAAAGTAATACTAGACTGATTTATCTCATTTTCTGTATTGCATTTTCATTGTAATTATTTGAATCACAACTATTCATACATCTGAACAATGAGATATTATTTGTCAACCTGGCCTGAGGATTCTTTGTCGCTCAATGTTCTCTTTGTCGCTCAATGTTCTCATAGTGAGATCTGGTGCCACTTCCAAATTTTCCTGTTTGAAACTAAGTGCCTTTGGCTAACTGGACTTAATCTGGATTTAAATTGGATTTAAGATAAAATCTTTGAGTCAAGCTGCTAATTATATGGGTAGAACTGTGCACATTTCACTGCAGTTTTATGGAAGAGGGTTGCTGTTGCCTCCTTTGTGGATGATTTCCTTCTTGATTGCTGATTCCTTAAATTGAACCATGTTAAATACAAAATGCCATTCCAAACGGTATACATTTGCTACATTATTTGATTTTCATTGGGTTGACAATTTTGATCACACTGTGGCAAGTTGGATCTCAATCCCTGGTTGTTCTCCATACAAGATTTTTTTTTTCTTAGTAAATAGACATGGAGAAAATCCTATAATCTTCATTATGGTTGCTCTTGGTACAGAACATGGATCTTGATGAATCATATGCATAGTCCATATAATCATTAGTTTAGCCAATTTGGGTGAGAAAGGAAAAGATCAAGAATGTCTTTTAATACTAGAGCAACTTTATCATTTCAGATAAAAATAATAAGTCTCTTCACTTGTTTTCATTGCAGAATGTTGTCTCTAAATATGGTGCACAGTTTCGTGGAAATGCACAACATGATGCCCTGGAGTTCCTTCTGTGGTTGTTGGACCGCATGCATGAAGACCTGTGTTCTGTTTCTTTTAATCAAAAACTAAAGATGTCTGGAAAGGTCAGTGATTGGCAAAGAAAGTTATTGTGTTACCCTGAAAGCTCAGTAAACCTATTGCTAATATATTGTTTCAGTCAAAATAGACCCAGAATTATAAAAATGTGAATAAAATTTGCTGAACTCTTTGTCAGTTAGTGGAGTATGGCAACATGACATTTATAACCATTTATAACCAAAGTGGACTTCTAATATCAGCCCATTCCCTTCATTGTAGTAGATTTTATTTCCATGGAAAAAGTTATCCAATAGGAACAATATTTTCTGCTGTGTAACCAAAGCATTGATGACCTAAAAATGGAATCTTGGTTATTATTGCCAATTAATTACTTAGAACAGGGACAGACATCCTAGTACTCTCCAGGTATTTGATTCAACTGCGGTCTCTATGGAGTACTGTTAACAGATTATAGATGCTGTCATCCAAAACCTTCGCAATGCAGCATGTTAAGTATTGCCACAGTACCTTAAAATCTCAGAGAGGCTTGCTCTGAGGCATAAATTCCACATTTCCAAATGCTATTATTGTTCCACTCTCTGATGGAGGTATTGTAATCGGACTTGAGACTTAAGTCTATCTCCAGCCATGGAAACTTACAGGAGTAAGTCATTCTGTCTCAGCACCACCTATACTATTTCAGAGGTTGGTATATGGGAACGAAATGAAGGGCTAAGCCTCCTATAACATAATACCTCAATGACAAAAATAATAGTGGAAAAATTTGATGTATTTGATGTATTAGCAACTCAGTGCCTTGACAACAGGTCTGAGGTAAGAAAGCACCAGTTGACTAAGATGGGATATCTGTCTTCAGACTGAATCAATATTTTGATGGTTTGAGATCAAAACATTTTTATTTTTATTTTATTTTATTTTTTATTTTTTTGCTAATTTTCTGACCTGAAGGATGGGATTGGTGAGATCATTCAGAACTGTCTTTTATGTTATCGTGAAATGCAAATATTAGCAACTGATTAGTGGAATCAAATGAGGACAGAAATGTGTGTATGTGTACAGGGGTATTTATGTGGACCATTAGGTTAGTAGAAATGATTTAGAAAAATTTGATAATTTTGTAAGTATAACATTCATGTTACAGAGATATACCATCTAGCAAAAACCCCCAAAACACTGCCATCCCTTACTAAACCATTAGTGTACTTCTTTAGTCTTCATTATTAATTATAAAAAACATTAAAAACTGTAAAAACGGAGCAAAAAGACACAGCACATGAGGATCTGTGTGATAGACAGATGAAATTGGGGACAGGTGACCCCTCAACTAACCCAGTCCCTTGTCATGAAGGGCATCACCTTGAGTTGTTTATAAAAACAACTCCCCATCTCCCTCTCTCTCTCCATCAGCATCTTGAAATAGACCCAGAAACAAACTGGTAATGAGCAGCTCATGAAAGGTAGGTGTAATATAATATGTTCCCCCAAACCCATATGTAAGTGGCCAAACTGCTGCCTGATTGTTTCCTGTTGCACTTACAGCCCAGTTATATCCCAGATATGACTGTCCTTTGGCTGCTTTAAATTAAAGGAAAAAAACAACCATCTTAACTTGCTTAACTTGCTAGAACCAGGAACAACTTGTATGTGGTAGAGTTAGATACAGTATTACACTGTGTTACTACATTTCATTTTGTATATAATCCATTAAAAGGCAAAATATTAATTAACTATAGAGTGCTTGTAGCAGTCAAGCAGATGATGTATCTGAAAAGTACTGAAGATTGAATGATTAACTCTTTGGGTAGAAATTGTAGAACGTGCGGTCTCCCACACATCTGCAGGGTGTTTAGATTAGGAAAGGCAGTTTAAGGCTTAGTTAGTATGAGTTCAAAAGGAGGATAAAAGATGGCTTATTATTGCTCAAGGAATATCCATTTGCTTCACAATGATTCAAACTAAACTGTTTTGCCCTCATGTAAACACAATACCTCCCTGCTATTCATTAGAACAACACAGCTTTTTTTTTCATGCTGCCACATTCTGCTTTAAGAATTGCTATAACTTTATTGAGTGGATTCCTTAAAGCGGAAGCGTCTTTTCTTTTCTTTTCATGGTGTTCAGAAGCTTGGGGGGGGAGGGGAAATGGTGTGACTTTTAATGAATAATACTTGCACAAGGTCCAGAATTCTTCCACATCATTTTTGTCCTCTGCATAGCTCTGAATTACAACGGGACTCTTAAAAGCCATTCCACTGTTTTTTGTCAGCCTGGCTGGCTGGGGAACCCTGAGAGCTGAAGTCCACACATCTTAAAGTCATCAAGGTTGAGAAACACTGAGGTTACATGGTTTGATCCTGCAGGCAATGACCTGTCTTCTCTCATTCTCTGCTTCTTTCTTTCACTATGTGAATGAATCCCCATCGAGTACAGCTACTAATCTGTCACTAATTACACTGTCAGGCAGCTTTCTGGAATGATGTGGCAGCTGTTTTGCTGCTGGCAAAAATAGTAATTAAAAAAAAAAGGATGCTACAGAGCGAGCTCTCTGTGTCTCACATACAGCAGGCAGGTCATAAGCACAGAGACTGAAATAGTAAAATGCTCCAGTGAGCCATACTTGGGTGCGAATTTAACACCTGTTTTTTTTTTTTTTAAATTGTTCAAACACTAAACTACTACACCTGTCTGTATATTTGCTTGAATTGGTCAAAGGGCAAAGGATAGTTGGATCACATTTCTTGCTGGACAAATTGTTTTACATTGTAACTTCCAGAAGTGGATTGGGAGTTGTAATAAAAGCAGAAAGAATTTTATGACACCTGAAATGCTAATAGGTGTTGGTTTTTTGTTTTTTTTTAGCACATAGCTTTTTCTGGCCTAACTTTATGCAGAAATACAAATGCTCTTTTTTTAAGGTACTACAGAATTGTTGTTGTTCTTTTATTTCTGTGCTTCCTTAACACAGCACTTCCTCTGGAATGCAAATGGTAGCCTGGCCTGCATTGTGGAGATGATGATGATGATGATGATCATTATCGTCATTGGAGAGATGACGATACTAATGGACTACCCTGCAGGGTTATCATAACCGTTCCTGAGGGGATGCATGTGAAGTTCATTATGTAAATGGCTGATGTTATTATAAAGCACTATTATTTCTGTTTATATCATCTTCTTTAAGGGTTATTTATGGAGTAAATGCTCTGTCTGGTAATCAAGGCTATTTGTCTGGTTGGCTTGAGAATTATGTGGAGGAGAAAGGAATTTGCAGACTCTCCCCCACTAATGGAATGTGCTGCAAAATGTGCCTAGGAATTTAGGGCCAAGCTAGCAATACTTTTCACAGTGACTTTAAATTTTTGAATTTAAAACATTCTTCTCTGTAACATGATTTCATGCAATATCTTCCCCCGGTTTGTTTATGGTCATGAGTTTAAAGTAGTGTTCTCTCTTTTAAAAAACTAAAAAAAAAATCTCATCCTAGAATATGTCACATATGAATGTTAGTCACAGGTAGTCTTCCACTTATGACCAGTTACTTAACGAGTGTTCAAAGTTAAACATTCAAAAAAGCTACTTACCACCCATCTTGCAAGTTACGATTTCTACGCACATACACAACAATGGTTGTGTGATCGCATTTTGGTGACTTGGCAACCAGCTCACATTTATAAGTGGTTGCAGTATCCCGTGGCCAGGTGACTGTGATTTGTGACATTTTTGCTGTTTTCCAGCCGAAAAACACTCATTGGAAATGCTGGTCATTGTTTAATGACCACACGATTTACTTAACAACCATGCAATTCATTTAATAATTGTGGTAGCTTGCTTTACAACCATCCTAAAAATGGTCGTAAAATTGAGTCCAGCCAGGTGGTGCCTCGATTGCAAGGACTTACAATTGAAATTCTGGGCTCCACTGTGGACGTAAGTCAAGGACAAGCTGTATAGCATAAATGATATTCTTACAGTAACTTTCTGTAAATGCTCCACAGTGTATTTCATCTCTTCATTTTCATTATTATAGAAATAATATACTGTATATAATTGCAAATAAACCCATTTGCGGATAAGCAGACCCATAAATTTTTAACCAAATACCATGAAAAATGTGCCATCCACAGATAAGCTGACCTGCATTTTTTTTTTTTGTGGTATTTTGGTTAAAAGTTCAAAGGTTTGCTTATCTGCAGAGTGGGTTGTATGCATGTTTTTAAGGGTAGTCTTTGATATATGTCCATTATCGAGCTCCCAATTTTGATTGTAAGTGGTGACAATCATTCAGTTGGTGTTTGTGACCATGGCTGACTGTATGACCTTTTAGTGGAGGTTGTTAAGCGTTTGTTAAGCAGACTCATTGTTTGTTATGGAGGGTCTTTTGCCGAAAATCAGAATGAAATATCAGTTTCTGGCAAAAATATCATAAATTGTGGTCACGTGACTGCGGGACATTGCAACTGATAGTAAATGGGGTGGTGGTTGCTGAGTGCCCCAAAAGCGATCATGTGACCAGAGAGAGGGCATTGCCAGAACTATGTATCAGGTCATAAGTAGCTTTTTTGGTATCTACTATAATTTCAAAAGAGTTGATAAGCGACTGGTTATAAGTCAGGGATTACCTGTATAGAAAACATGGGTACATTTTAAAAGCATTACTATAAATACCTGTAGATGAACCTGTCTGGGGATAAGCTCAACCTGATTTTTTTAATGCATTTTGACACCTAAAATTCTTGGCTTATTCGCAAGTGGATGAATTAGAAGACTGATTGAAATCCACTGTATAAATACCAGGAACATGCAGAAATTTAGATTTTAAAGGAAAAAGGTGATTTGGAACATGCATGGGAGCATATTAAACTAAATGTATCTTTTCTTGGTATCATCTAGAGCAGGGGTTCCCAACCCCCGGTCCATGGACCAGTACCGGTTCGTGGCATGCCAGCAACCAGTCCGCACAAACAAGCAAAGCCCCATCTGTGGGATGCAAGCAGCACACAA